GGGACCAGCAGATGGCATAATGGCTACATCGCTGGACCCCCACGTAGTCAACCATGGTTCAAGTCCCAGACCTGGTGGCTTAAACTCATACTGAGTATGTGTACATGCGTGCCCAAAGTCCTGAGAGGAGAATGGAGGAGAAGGGATTGCGGCATGGCCATCCCCCCAGGGGATGAATTCTCACTTTCTGTCTCTCTGATGAGCACATGCACCCTATAGCACAAATCTCTCTCTTTAAAAAAAAAAAAAAATTCACGTGTGGAACTTAAACAATCAGGTTGTCGTGAAGGCCATAACATGTTTTTCTGTTTCTCTATGCAAAAATGTATCATGACTTTCTCGATGACCTAACATATGGTTTCCAAAGGTGCCGCTGACCTGCAAAGTCCGGAAACTGGGCTTTCCTAATTCTGCCAGTCATTCTTGAGTCATCTTACCTCCCACGGCAATACACAACAATACAGCTGCATCTCGGCGACACGTGGCACGCATTTCTTTAAGGCACATTCACTTTGTTTTATTTGCGATTCGTTGCAGTAACAAAAACCATGAGAAAGCCAGTCCCAGGAGGTTCCCGACGTGTACACAGGAACCTGGCTGTCTGTTGGCCCTGAGGTTCTCAACCTGAGAGCTTCCGCCTCTCCACCCTCCTGCACACGTGGCGCAGCAGAAAGGAGGGATGCTCCTGGCTCCTAAACGCGATGCTCTGGCCAGGTCTCTGGCTCAGCATTCCACCCCCAGGCAGCTCGTGCGGGTGTCACAGCCCGCCTCCTCCTCAGGGTCACCCCGACCGACTCCTAGTCTCTAAACTCCAAGTGCACCTCCCTTCACAGTAACCACTTGGGCACAGTCAGGAAAGCCCGGACTGCGGATCTGCCTGGGCAGCTCGTGCGGGTGTCACAGCCCGCCTCCTCCTCAGGGTCACCCCGCCCGCCTCCTAGTCTCTAAACTCCAAGTGCACCTCCCTTCACAGTAACCACGTGGGCACAGTCAGGAAAGCCCGACTGTGAATCTGCCTGGTGTGCACGTGCATCTCAGAACCTGCCTGCAGGACAGAGTCCTCTCTGGACCCCTCCGGCCTCTGCTTCCACACTCCTCTTCCTCCTCGCCTAGACTAGTAAGACCTAAATCTGAAGGGTCAGTCTTGCCCAGTCTAAGACCCAGCCTGGAATGCAGCAACGCATATTCAAACAGCTCAATCCCCAGAGCCAGGGACTATAAATACCTAGTTCTTGCTGACAAGAATGAATAAGCCTGACTCAGAAGCCCTGGCAACTGGGCCTTTACCCTAAATTCCTGTTCGGGGATTTGTATTCTGCTAACCTGACCTCTTCCCCTGACTCATTTCAAGACTCAGACGCTCCTTGCGAGTCTCACCAGTTCTCAAGGAATGGAGGGCTGCTTCTACCCACACAGAGATCTCGGACTTTACCTGGGCTTCTGAATATTACTCATCCCTGTGGACTACCCTCCTGCAGAGCAATCCAGCTGATTCATCTTATTCAACGACTAGACTCTACTGCAGCCTTGGGACACAGAGCCTGTCCTCCAGACAGGCAGAATCTGTTGGCAGCAGCTGAAGCTGAGCAGGTGCTCTGGCAGGACCCCTCTTGCCTCAGCAGGCAGCTCCTGGGCCAGGCCCTGGCCTCTGCCTGCCTGCTGTGGCATTTGACTACGCTGGCACCTGCCCTGGGCTAACCAGCAATGCTTCTCAGCCCCACGAAGCACTGCATGGAACGACATGCTCTCACTAAAAAGACGGCCTCTCCGAGTTACGGATCCTTCGGTCAGAACAGAGTATATCTAATAGAGATCGGCGTCCTGAGCCAAGCGGAAGCGAGTCTTTCATACCAGCGTTGACTTCGATGGCAGCTCGAAGGTCTTTTCTTTCTTTCCGGAGCTGAGCCAGCCTATTCCGCAGGGCCTCCTTCCTCTTCAGTAGCTCCTCTTCTTTGCTTTGTAACCGCTTAGCATCTGCTTCCACCCGGTTCTTGCCATACTTGTACTGGTCAGCATCTTAGAAATAAAAAGCAGCAGTAAGAAATTAGGTTGAATCATGCAGACACTAGGGTAATTCAGAAAGTCTGCTTAATCAGCCCGCTTGGGAAAATAAACTCAAAGCTATTTTGCTAATGTGACAAGAAAAACAACAGGACTATTTAAGTAGAAAAGTGATTAGTTCAAATTTACCAATATTCTTTGAATCGAAAGTTTAAAAAATGAAAATAGAATATTTGGAAGTTCCTTTAATTTACCTCCCTTTGAGGTGGCATACAACTTAAACGTAATCTTCCATAAGGCTGAAAGTGAGCACGCAGATCTGAAAACATAGGAGCCTGTTGCTATCAAAAACTAATATCTTGCATTTGTGTGGTTCTCTGTATTTTTCAAAATACTTTCATTACATTGCAATATTTGTTCTTCTTCTTTTTTTTTTTTTTTGAGAGGTTTTTGCTACAGGGACCATGCACTCGCCAGAAAGACAGAGAGAGCTGAAAGCAAGAAATCACCCCCCCCCAATGGGGGCGGGGGAGGATGGCCATGGTGCAGTCCTTTCTCTTCCATTCTCCTTCCAGGATCTTGGGCACATGTGAGTTTAAACTGCTGGGTCCAGGACTCAAACTGTGGTCTACTACATGGGAGTCCAGCGACATGGCCATTATGCCAACTGCTGGTCCCTGCAACATCTGTTCTTCCCAACTGTGCCCTCTGTTTTGCTCTGCTTTGATGCCAGCTATATGGCCAGCACTGAAGTCAGTGCCTGGCTTAGAGCACGTGACACCTACTTGTTGAGTGAATAAATGAGCAAAGGAATAAGTGAAGGGGTGACACAGTGGTATGTGGAAGCAGACTGCCTGGGTGTGACCACAGCCTGCCACTTGTGTCTGCGTGATCTTGAACAAGGCACTTCATCTCTCTACACCCCAGTTTCCACATCTGTGACACGAGGATGATAAAGGCAGGTAATTCATAGGGTTGTTATGAGGATTGAATTATGAACATTTACAGAGTCATTCCAACAGACAACCATGAGCACTACATAAATGCCTGTCAAATAAGATGAATACAGGCACAAAGAAGAAACCATTGGGTCTTTGGGAAAGTCATGACACAGTTTTACATAGAAATCATAGAAAAATACATCATGACATTCCCAATGACCTAGTCGTTGTGTGAAAAATTTAGAGACTCGGGCAACATCACATTACCAGGTAATACGGCATTAAAATTCTGACTGCGTAACTGTCCCTCTGACCATGTTGAACTGTCAGTAATATAAGACCGCTTTGGGAAAATACATTGACAAGATGAAAAGATGAAGACCCCAACAAAGCTGAGATGAACGATGACCGGTTTTGAAGCTTCACTTATCTCCTAGTAGCTCCTAACGGCCAGTGACTCCCCCTGGCAGCCCCAAGGAACTCCGGTCTTTACGTACACTTCTGTTACTGCACGGTCCACCTTGGGGTGGATGCCATGGAGGGTGGCATAATGGTTAATGGCAAGGACACCGGACTAAGAGAAGTGGGTCACTCTACCCCTTTCTTGTTAAACGACTAGGCAAACAGCCAGTTTCCCTAGACCTCAGCTTCACCCTCCATAAAGTAAAAATGATGAGAATCTTTTGAGGTTTTTTTAAAAATTAGACATATGCGGGACCAGCATATAATGGTTGTGTTACTGGACTCCTACATGCCTGGCTGTGGTTCAAGTCCCTGACCCAGCAGCTTGAAACTCATGCTGGGTACATGTGCGTGCATGCCCAAAATCCCGAGAAGAGAATGGAGGAGAAGGGATCGTGGTATGGCCATCCCCACTGGGGGGTGATTTCTCACTTTCTGTCTCTCTGTCTGTGTCTCCAGCAAGTGGGTGTCCCCTATAGCAAAAAATCTCTCTCTCTCTCTAAAAAAAAAAAAAAAAAATTAGATATATGCACCTGAAAAAAATAAAATGAACAAAATGAAATGATGCCTGGGGTATAGTGAATACTCCCTGGGAGTTGTTATCGTTATCACTGTAACTGACCCCTCGGAGTCTGGTCCATTAAGAGATAGCGAGAACCATTTCTAGTACCTATCCCGATTGTCCGATGTGCCAATTCTTGCAATGTCGCCCACTGTGATTTCAACGAAATACTGCATTTATCAAGGCAGATATAAAGTCGTCACTCCCCAACTATTTCCCCTCATCAAAAGGACATCTACAGAAAGACAGTACAAGAACTGGCAGTCAGGGGACAGCATTCGACAATCTAAAAACAAAAGCTAGTGAGGACATATTTTGCAACAGGGCCAAGTCCACACTTGCCTCACTTATTTCTAAACTAAGATGTTCCCCCAGCAAACCTATCTGCAGTAACCTATAAATTTCCACTTCTTTTGGGCCCAATGCAACAAACCCGCGCTATCTAAAATGCAATTGGCTGAATTCAGCAAAAACACAGAATGCAATTATTTTTCTCTTTTGTCACCATTAGATGTCACCAAAGTCAATAAAAATTCCCCACAGAAGCCCTCATAAAATAAAGGAATAAATAAAAATCATCTAGGGAATAAAATAAGCGTAGGTACTGAAAGAAAAATGCTATGACAGAGGCTGGTGAAGACCCTGCCTAACAGAGCTTTTCCTGCAGGAGTGCTCTGGCCCAGCTTGCTCTCCCCAGACGAGCAGCACTAACAGAAGTGAGTATAAATACACCGAGATACATCAGGGGAGTAAGGTTTCTAGAAAGATAGGGTCAAAATAAGTCAGCACACTCAACAAGCTAGGATGATAAGGAGGACGTGGCCCAGCTGGCCCCCAACCCATGCACTTGAGATGTCTGAGGGGAATGGCGGCACGGATGAGCTTAATTTCCATGAGCTTGTCTTACCTGAGTAAGGAAAGCACAAGCTTCCTGCGGGAGAAGCAGCCGAGCACGGCTGTGCAAGTCCGAGGCCCGCCCTTCCGTGTGGATGGCCAAGGACAAAGCCAGCCCCCTGACTCCCCAGTGTGTACCTCTGACTCGGAAAAGTAAGCCCCAGTGCAAAGGGATGTCAGCTCAGGGGAGTACTAAAGCCTATCTCTCCCACCCTGGCGCAGAGGTGACTGACCGGTGTTAGCTGGCCTCATCTTCATTAACGCAGAGACTGGCCTCAAGGGATGTCAGCTCAGGGGAGTACTAAGGCCTATCTCTCTCCCACCCTGGCGCAGAGGTGACTGACCGGTGTTAGCTGGCCTCATCATTAACGCAGAAACTGGCCTCCCGGTTACAAGGGGCCAGATTTGAAAAGTTCAGGTACAAGTCCCAAGTGACAATGGCATGGAATCACGTCAGATTCACTACTGGCATCTAGCTCACATCCTCCTCCTCTGGGACAGCTTCCCTGACCTGCCCAGATTGGTGGGAGAGCTCCTGAACCTGAGCAGACGCCCACTGCAGCCCTCAGCAGGGGGCCTCTCCACCAGATAGGCAACGTGATGGGCCACAATGGAGCCTCACTAGTGTCCCAGCAGCGAGCAGAGCGCCCGAATGAGTGCGAGCTGCCTGGCCGGCTCCTGGCTGAATTAATGGTTAGACCTCCTACATAAGGAACGCTGAAGCAGACACAAATGTGTGGATTTAATAGACTCACCCTGGATTTATCTGCTGAGATACAAAGGAAGGGGGTACTGGGTGTGCAGGCAGGCTGAGTCTCTCACGTGCATCTCACTGCTTCTCGGCCCAGTTCCACCTGCTGTGAGATTTGGAAAGCCTGGGACTCACTCTGGCTATCATTTGCCAGCTAAGAGACCTCGGGAGAGCTGCTTCACCACTCGGAGCTTCGTTCGCATCTGTACAACAGCGTCGATGACAATCCCTACCCTTGTACTACGGCTCTGAGAAATAAGCAGTGGAGGATACGTGGTAGACTAACGCACAGCAGGATTCATAATTCCTTATAAACCCTGATACTTCGCTAGCACGGTGAGGTACACACATGGCCTCAATTATTTTAATCACATCAAGCCCAGTAGCTAGTTGTCTGCAGGTCTGACAGGTAGAGAAGCTGAGCTTAGAGTGGTCACATGACTTGTCAACAGTAGCTCTGGGACAGACTGAGGCCTCCGGATCCAAAGCCCAAGGCCACGTGGAGCCACACCGCAACCTGCACTGCTAACTGCCTCCACACGTGAATGTGCTCCGTCAATGCCACAGCGAGACCAGTGTGCGCGTCCTTAAACGGCAGCAGTCACAGCGCCGGACAAAAGCCATCGTCGTTCTTCAGTCCAGCAGGTGAGGACCGGCGGGCGTGAATACAGCTCCAGCCCACCCCAGCCTGGCATTCACCCTGTGAGCAGGCACACGCGCCCCGACTCTGCCACCTGCACTTCGAGCCAGAAAACAGGAAATCAAACGGTGACTTACTTGAAGCCGTGCGTTTCACGCTGACTGCCGAGTCAGCCTTTTTCTGCTGGCTGCTCTGAGCCTTCCCTTTCCCTGTGACCCCATTAGATGTCGCTGGGGGTTTCTTACCCTTGAACTGTTGAAATAAGCAAATAAGAAAGTTAAAATCAAGCAACAAACAAAACACCCTGTTTTTTTTCCAGTACCAATTTCTCTTATTCTCATACTCTTTATGCAAAACGTGGCACAGACAGAAAAAAATGAATGAAAGCAATTTGATTTCCAAACAGTGGCCTACTCGACTTGCCTGGAAGGGCTAGAAGGTTCCAACAAGGTTCTACCGCGGAGTAAATGAGGCTCTCTAGGATGTCCTCAGCGGAATGCGATGGAAGTTTTAAGATTTTACTGGGAGATCATAAATGCTAATCAAGAGATTGACATGGTAGCTGACTAAAGAGCATTTATTTCAGTGGAATCCTTTCCAGGGGAGAGGCGTGACTCTGCAGTTACATTTCTACTCTAAGGCTTTTATACTGAACGACATCTTAACGCGATAGAGTCGCTGATGGAGTCTGAGGAAAGACGTAGGGTCAGTAGGACATGGAAACACTCCAAATAATACGGTAACTAACTGTTGACTGAGCGTGGGCTTTTAAAAATGTAATAGTACCCCTACTTCTTGGATTGCTGCAAGCCAACTAATTTTGTATTTTGCTTAAGTGATAGTAAGTGTTCCTTAGAAATAAATTCAGCTTGAAGGCAAAGCCTGATTCTAGATATCCAAACCCTTGTTTACTCCATGATAATATAGTTCCTTCTGTGTGGGCATCCATTTGGGGAAGGCAGAAAGATCTTGCTTCCTGTTCTGGCACCGTAATTTAGGAGATGCTCAGTGGGTCATCAAAACTTTGGAGTCTCACCTTGCTCATTTAAATATGTAAAGATACTTACACGGTGTTGAAAAGAATAAATGACACAGCATATGTATATATATACATACACAGCACATGGCATATTGGTAAGTGCTTTAATAAGTATAAGGTCTCTCAATTAAATAATGGGTTCCCATGAGTGATCAAATGAGGACAGGAGAACTAAAGGTACTATAATTCAGCTTGCAAATGCATTTCCTATTTAAAACAAACAACAATAACATAAAACTCCATGCATAAACTATGCATAATTCCCAGCTCAAAAGTACAAAATGGCACTATTTCATCACATGTTTTTATTTTTTACCCAAAGCAACTCTAATGCCAATGAAAGTGTGGATAAATAGATAGGTACCCACTCACTCAGTAAATGAAGCACAAGACCCACCACATTTTCCTGGCATAAGTACTCATAACTGGAGGACGAGAGCTCTCACTCCTGACTGCATCAGTGTGGGCCCTCAGACTCACTGAATCTTTAGAGATGGAATCTGGGCAATCGTCACTAAAAGTCAAAACCACAGGAAAACCTTCCTGGGTGGAATCTGCTGATGCTGGTATTTTCAGAGGCACGGCCGTAAACTGCTACTATCTGGAACTCTAGGACCTTACTGGGTGTTCATGATTTTCTTAAGATTACCCAGAGAATGGAGAAGAGGGAAATAGTTAACACATGCCCATTGGTTTTATGTTACTAGAATATTCTTATGTATGGTGCTCAGAACTTTAGGCAAAGCACTAAAAATACAATTCTTAGGTTAAAAATGAAGAAATACAAAACTAGTATTTACTCTGAAATGTTAGTGTTTGCCACAAATATGAGGAAATGGACAATTTTAATAGCAGGTCTTATTTATCATCCAATGATCATCAAAAGCCCTTACTCATCTACTAGGTTTTAGGGAATATTCCTTTACAGTCATCACGAAACAAAAAATTGGGGTTGTCAGAAAAGTCATGACGCATTTTTGCACGGGAAAACACATCATGACTCTCACATGACCCAGTACTGTAGCACTCTGAATAATCCCATTTCACGTATAAAGATCGGAAAGAAATGATCACGTGGAGTCGTCTTTTCCTCATGATATTTAACAGACACATACTAAACTTGCAGCTCAAGGATCTCCTGAAAAGTTTTATTGACCCTTGTTTTAAAAAAATCTTTGTCGTTAGTTGACACAAAACTCACTGAGGAGTTCTTCAAAAAGGTAAAAAAAACAAGCCAGAAGTAACACTTAGATACGCCATGAACTACTTAGGAATGTCTCATCAATTTCTTGGTAGCTAAATTGCAAATTAGGTTCTAGTTGAGGAAAAAATGATGCATTGCCCTTGGTAAGTTCCAGTTACAAGTTGCAAACCTCTCTTGGCTTAAAGAACATTCTAGAGTATTAGAGCACAAGATGCTGTACCTGGGAGTTGAGCCCGAGAGATGCCCTCCCCACAGAAGAGGTGTTAGTGACAGACTGAGCGGGAGGCAGCCCGGAGGAGGCAGGGTGTTTGTAATGGTTAGAGGACAGCTTGTCAGGAGGTAACCTAGAAGCCTTTCTGTCAGCAGCAGAGTAGCGGGCAAAGATTTTCGGAGACGGCAAGTTATCGTACAGGCCTGCGTTATCATAAAGCACCTCTTCTCCCAGGCCTCTGCTAGAGGAGGCAGGAAAGCCATCTTCTGGTTCCCACTGTAACACACATAGCTTGGTGGTTAGTGACTTGGACATGGAAAACAGCAGGATTTAGCACAGCACCCCAATATACCTGCGGACATAGACTCACAGTTGTTACCAAACACATGCTCACACCACGCTCATACACAGACACACACCACACAATATGGGCACACACACGCACACCCCCACACACACCCCCGTACACCACACACACACAAGCAGGTGGGTTGATTCAAAAAAAACTTTTCTACTTTTGGGATCTTAAAGAAAGGTTTCTTTTTTCCCCTAAGTCATCACAAGGCCACTGATTTATGAAGCGGTGCCCTGTTTTTGAACGTAGAAAAGTAATTGTGATTCGACTGTGATTTGACATGTTCTTCTTTAGAGAGCCAGAGTGCTGCAAGTCCGGGAGGTGGAGGTGGAGGGTGGCGTTCTGGGTCCGCAAGGAGACCCCAGCAAACACTCTGCTCACAGCCCTTCCTCGAGACAGTCTGAAGAGCTGCACACGTAGCTACACTCTCGATCTCACTGTGATCTTACAAGGTAGGAGGAAACCGAGGTCGAGATAGGTCACGCAGCTGAGGAGAGGCACGCTGGCTGAAGGACCAGCACGTGACCGCACATTAAGCTGCCCTAGGCCTCGGGAGCCCCAGGGAGGGTGAGCGTTAGAACCTAGACCGCCTCCGGGTTCCTCCGAGGCCGCCACGCACAAGGCAGTGATCTACGCCCACGGACACCTGTGGACACGCACCCCCGCCTCACACTTGGCAATGCCTTCAACAAAGCCGTCAACAGCCTACTAAAGAAAGAAGTCAAATCACCCCAGAAAATAGGATGTTTCAAAATCTCCTGGCTATAATGGCATTATTTTTAGTGGAAAATCTTTAACAAAGGATTAAAATAGCTACAAGCCATTTCATGGGACAGAGGAATTTTAGAACATGGACATTAAAATATAAATTAAACCCCAACACTAATAACCACAGCCGGATCCTTTTAAGTTTAAAAGACCTTTATAAATTGCCTTGCATTTAAAAAGGAAATGTTAATTCATATATACTATACTCCTTTTATCCTATTTTTATATTCTTCTTGCACAGTTCCTTTCTGCCAGACTGTAATTACGGCCTTCTGTTATAAAAATAGAAAAGACTTAAAATCCCGTAGCAGGGGTGCTCTCGTTTCTTTGCCACAACTTCAGTGTGTCTATTTTGGTGATGCTGGAGACCCACCTACAATCTAAAAATAATGGCACAAGCAGATAAACGCAGATGCGAGTGTTTCGCCATGGCAACCCGGCGTGTATTTGTCCAGCATTATTAAAATGGTCTCGACTAGACTGTCCTTTTTCCTAAAATACCATAGATTAAGTCACATGGTAGATTTAGAAGACACCAGAAACCTCATACAACTTTCTAGATGAAAAGCCTTGATTGTGTGTGTGTGTGTGTGTGTGTGTGTGTGTGCGCGCGCGTTTGTCTGTCTGTTCTTTCACCTTGGTTTAAGCACCTGGGGAATGCTGAGTAGGTAGGCATTACTCAAGCTGAAACACTGCTAAAATGTCAGGTGTTGGGTCATAAAGTATGAACTGTGTCAAACTTAGAAATGAGGCCTCTGGAAAAAAAGGATTAGCTAATAACAGAGCCCACCATGTAGAAAAAAATAGCTAAAAAAGGGGCCTGGGCAGAGGAAGCCCTTAGTAAGCAAAAGCGCCACAAACATGCCCACAGGTCACTCTGTCTTAAAAGCCTCAGTCACTGGCCAAGCAACAGACACACGGAAACAATTCCCAAATGCAAAGCCCTTTAAGAGCGGCTGATTTGGGGGTCAGTTGATGGCATGATACTTAGGGCAGCTGGACCCCACAGGGCCGACTGCATAGTCTACGTCCCTGACCAGGTGGCTTGAAAGACCACACTGGGTGTACGTGTGCATGCATGCCCAAAATTCCGAAAGGAAGGGTGGAAGAGAGGAGATTGAGGTGCGACCATCCCCATGGAGTGTGCTTTATCACACTCTCCTTCTCTGTCTCTCTCTGGTGAGCCCTCTAGCAATTTGTTTAAAAAAAGGTATTATTTCTAAAACAGATCAAGCCACGAACGCCCTAAGGAAAACTCGTTCCTGAGGGAAGCCTAACCAGTATAACGGAAGTCGGAATGAAAGGGAATGGGTGGGACGAGACGAGCCTCTGCGTGGCCCCAGCATGCCCGAATCCATCCCGCTCGCACTGTGCTCTCCTGTTGAAGGTGTGCGTGTGGAGAGACACCCTGGAGGGAGGTAGTGAGAAGGGTCTGTGGTAGGGAGGTCTCCAGATGGGTTTGTGTGTTACCATGCCACAACGTTAAAGGCTATAATAACGCCTCCGGGAGCAGGTCATTTAGAAAAATGCGATTAGATGGTAACTGGTCTAAGCCCAAGGACGAAGCCGTCCCGTCAGGAGATGCTGCTGGCTGCATGGAGCAGAGGGAACCCACAGAGCCAGGCTCCCACCCTGAGAATGGCCGGCTGCTGGGAGGAAGGCCTAAAAGCCCTGCCCTCGGGAGGGCACTCGGGCACTGGGCACTGGGCATTGGGCCTGAGTGAGAGGCGCTTGCGCAGCCTCCCTGCAGGGGTGAGGACTGTGGTCGGAGTGGGCACCAGGCACTGCTCGGATGCTGACCACCCTAGTGGTAGGGTAGGATGGACGTGAACCTGGAGGGGCAGAGAGACTGACTGGACTAGACCCGCCCCACCCTGGAGACGAGGGCGCCACTGGAAGGATCCGCATTTGATGAGCAAGTGGCTCTGCTGCCCTTTGACCCCGCGTCCTGCTGTGGAGGGGGACAGCAGGCTCTGCAGCCCAGGGCCCGGGCAGCAGTTCTCCTGTGTCCTTTGTTCCAGTCTGAGGTCTGTTCCCTCCCCTGGACTTGGACCCCGTCAGGACAATGACAGTAACTTATCTATTTCTTCTTCTTCTTTCTTTCTTTCCTTTTTTTTTCCCCCCCCTATAGGGCGCATGAGCTCGCCAGAGAGACAGAAAGCGAGAAATCACGCCCCGGAATGGGGGGTATGGCCATGCCGCAATCCCTTCTCCTCTATTCTCCTCTCGGGATCTTGGGCACGCACATACACGTACCCGGCGTGAGTTTAAGCCACTGGGTCCAGGATGCAAACCGCAGTCGACCACATGGGAGTCCAGCGACATAGCCATTACGCTAACTGCTGGTCCCTCTATTTCTTTTTCATTCCTAGAACAGAGCCTGGTACTAGGAGACAACCAGCACACAGGGACAGGGGAAGAAGAGTAGAGTGAAGGGAAGAGTAAGAAAGGAGGAAGAAGCTAAGGAGAGGAGGATGGATGATGTGAGGAGGAGAAAATCCCTTTTCAGAACCAAGTCAGGCCCATGGATGGACTGGCAGGAAGTCCAGGCAGGTCCAGGGGCTGGTAGGGAGTGTCTGACAGGAAGGACCTGGGGGTTCATCCGGGCCCAGGGACGCACTGCACGACCCCTCTGGATTGACTAGCTGCCACCTCTGGCCTAGGCTCCCTGAGCTTGGTTTCAGGTGTGGCTCTCCTGAGCTCCGGGACGGCTTAGCCCCCTCACTTCCCGCAAGGAGGCAGTTGTAGGCTTCGTGATGACAGGTAGAGGAGAGGACTGATGTCATCTATCGAAATACTGGAGAGGAGAACGGAGAAGCAGAACAGTAAGAAAAGCCCAAGTACCTTCACGGACTGAAAAAACCAGCAAACATACTCTGCTTGCCTCTGAAAAATATCTTAACAGAGATGCCGGTTCTAAGCCACCCAACACTGGGAGACAGGCGGCATCGTGGGCTTTTACAAGCCTCATCTTAGAGTGCCAGCCCCTGGGCCTGGCTCAGACAACGTCCAACAAATGGGTGCCAGATGAATCCCATGGAGACGGAGCCGAACCAAGGCTCCCTATGCGCTCTGCGAACGACACCTCAGGCACCAAATACAGAGGACAAATCAAAAAACGAGTACGGCCATAGTGACCCTGGAGACCCGCTCAGCACAAAACGCGGCCACCAAATGTCCGCAGGGTCAGGTGTGGGCTTTCCAACAGCAATGAGCTGGGCGCTAAAGGCCCCCGTGCTCCAACCCTGCCGGGAGGGAGAGGTGCCGTGTGCAGTGCGGGCCTGAGTCCACAGCACCCCGCCCTTCCTCTCCGCCGACGGGGACGTCTTAGCACTTCCATCACACGGGGAGACACCTGCTCACTGACGGCTCACACTGCCACCTGATTCAGCCAAGGCACAGACTGACTGCCATATTCAGCCAGTCCTTAAAGTGTGGCGAAATGTGTAATGAAGACAGCGACACCGAAGGACAGGCCGTCTCCCGGTGTCGCATTAACCACCCGCACGCAGGCACAGTCAAACGGCACATCAGAAGCCAGGAGACGAGGGAGAGGGTGGAGTGCTCCTCACCTCAAAGCATTATAAAAGACCTCTATTTCCGACCTGAGGGCAAGGCTACGGGGACACAGCACTTTGCAGACAGTCTTGCCTTCTTTCGAAACCACTCACCGAGCCGTTGATGCACGGGACGTCGTCGTAATGCAGCGCCGTCCCGCTGGGGTGCGCGTAGCCGTCTGAGGTGCCCCCTAGGTAGGGGTTCGTCGATATGACACGCCTGTTCATGAAACTGAGAGGAGAAAACGAGTCAATGTTCACAGCCCGGCTACTTTTCCCTCGAATCGGTCAGCAAGTCTTACACGAATTCGAACCCCTTCCATGCTCGAGGCCCTGTCAGCGGCTACAGGGAGCAGAGAAAGAACATCAGCACAGAGGCGGCCGTGGGGAGTGGCACGCGGGCTGAGGGCCAGGCTCCTCAGCTGTAGAATGAGAGTGGCACTCACCCTGCAGAGGTGTATACTAGGTGCCTGAAGCAGGGGCTGCGGAGAACAGGTGCACAACAAATACCCACCACGGTTATTACCACCCGCCCGCAACAGTGGGGGCTCCCGCTCACAGCCCGCTCTGTAACACAGGTGTACTGGACCACCGCCATGGCCCCTCGGTTACAGGTAGTCTGCAGCTGCCTCCCAGGTTTCACATGCTTCTTCCCCGAGTCTGTTAACTCTTAAAACTAGAGACCAGATGGTCTGCAAAGCTGGATTATTTCATATCTTGCCTCTCTTGGGAAAAGTTCTTCCGCTCTGTTCTCTAAGTTCTTTAGACACACACCCTGCACGTATTTACTGAGCTCTGAGTTTTCATTCAGCGTCGCCACCACTTCAGTACGACTCGCCTTCCCCGCTTCTCTGAATTCCTGAGAGTCTTGACAGGAGCCAGAGGAATCATTTGAAGGTGTGAGATTGTGATACAATGAGAAATATATTTTGATCTTTGTCCCCAGTTCTAGTCCAAAGCTCCTAAAACCCTTGGAATTTTTCAAGTAATAACAGTAGGGGAAAAAAAAATCATCCTTTGCTATTTGTAACAAGCTGGGGGTTGTCTTATTGTGACAGCTTCTGGAAAGCCCTGAGGGATGGCGCCAACTGGAATGAGAAGGTTGGACCCTTCAGCCCCATACATACCCAAAAGGATGGGGTTCAGAGAGATTCTGGGTCAATGACTATCTGGAGGTATGGGGGAGGGGTGGTGGAGAGGGCACTGTAGCCCCATGCACCTCCCACCACTATGTGCACACACACACACACACACACACACACGTGTGTGCGCATACACTAACACCTTGTCCCACGCATCTCTCCCATCTGGCTTCTCCTAAGTTCTACCCTCTCATAACAAACCGTAGTCTAGTAAGTACGCCATCTTCCCAAGTTCTGTGAGCCATTCTAGTAAAGGAATGAGCCCAAGGGTCCGGGGTGCGGGCACTTCAGACTGGGAGGTGGCTGGTCAGAGTCAGGAGACAGCTCGGACCTCAGATTGGCATCTAAACTGGGGACAGTCCTGTGGGATCCGACACTATCTCCAGGTGGATGGTGCCCAGGTTGAGTGAAATTGCAGGACCCCAGCTGGTGTTCATCAGGGAACTGACTAAAGAGCTGAGCACCCAGCTGGTGTCTGCAGAGAGCTGAAGAGTTGCTTGGAGTGCGATAAACCGTGCTATTTGATGGCCGGAGGTAAGCGTGGGAGGCTGGGTGTGCAGTAAGAGGAACAACTTGGCCTCCCTCTGCAGAAGGCCGGGTCCGGTCAGCTCTGCCCCAAACCTCCCAGTGGCTTCTAAAATCACTCCGTGAAAAACCTATGAAGCCACGCAGGGCCTTCGAGGCTCCCTCCCTGCCTCACCTCTTCTCCCTCTCTGCCACCCCCAGCCTGGGAGAGTGCTTCCCAGGTTCCGCACCTGCCCGAGAGATGCTCGGCGTCCCTGGACAGAGGACTTCCCAGCACCCTCCTCTGCAGGCTGTCCTGCCTCCCCTCCTGTGCCTGCTCCTTGCCACCTGCCAAACTACTGTTGATCGTCTGTCCCTCCTATGACAACAGCAGCTTCAGAACGTGGCCTTGTCGATTTCAGTCATTCGCGTTTCCAAGGTCTAGGGCAATGTCTGACGCAGACCCAGTGCTCAGCACACGTGCTGAGTGAAAGTGTGTGGGACCGGCTTGCTCTGCGGGTCGGGCTGTTACAGGTAGCCGTGTAAATGCCTAGGGAGGAAACGTGCTAGACAGTGTTTGTTCTTCATTGAGGAGAGCTAAAATTGCCTGGAATTAAAAAAAAAAAAAAAAAAAAAAGGTTGCCCACAGTGTGTTCGTAGGATAAATAAAAAGAGTCAACAGGGCCCAGCAGGTGCTGTGATGGTTAAGGCTCTGGACACCCAAGTGGCCACTGCGGCTCGAGTCCTGGACCCAGCGGCTTGAAAATGCCGCTGGACGTGTCTGTGTGCACGCCCAAAATCCTGAGAGGAGAATGCGGAAGGGGCTGTGGCATGGCCACGCACCGTGTGTGGGGGTGGATTTCTCACTCTCCCTCTCTGTCTCTTTCTGGCAAGTGCATGTGCCCTATGGTAAAAACCTAAAAAAAAAATAAATAAAAATAAAAAAGAGACTAAGTGAGCAGTGAGGAAAATACAGTGTAAAGTGAAGACTGCTCTTCTTTTTCTCTTGTTTTTCGGGGAGAGCGCGAACGCAGTCCCCCACTATCACCAATGATGCAGTCGAGTTCCCCACATTTGGGGAAATCCCAGGGCTCAGCACATCTGGAGTGCAGTGGATAAGCCTCGCCCTGGGAAATCCACCTCCATGACCATGGTATCTTCCCTGTCAGGTAAGTATTAAGACTGCTTCTTCAACGAGATGCCCCTCGACACAGCTACACGGCAGGTTCCCACGGACAGCAGTGAGGGATGCGCAGCAAGGCTTCCTCTCCGCCTGGGATCTAACACCAGGGCAGGCTTCCATCCTGGCCCTCCACAGCATGCACAGGCCGCCCTCTGCTGGCCAGAAGGAGGCCGTGCACTGTCCCTTCTACAGACACTAATTCCTGGAATAACTTCTTTTGCTTTGCTTATAAAATGTTCCTAGAGTTATTCTGTATTTAAAACCATGACAGCAGTGTCGGGAGAGAAAATGTACACGGGAGGAGCAGAGACCAGGAAAGCCAGCAGGACTTCAGGGTCCACAGCGGTAGAAGACTTTGGTTTAAAACCAAAAACACATCCTTGAAGTTTTTCTCATTGAAACGCGGTGTTTGCGGGTCTTTTTGAGGGTAGAGCCATGTCTGCCTTTGTCGTGAGAGGCGGTGCGTGGTGAATGACGGAGCGCGTCTGCTGGAGCGTGGCTGGCTCTGAGCGCCGGGGCACGTGTCGTGTACGCCTTCGCCCTCACGGGGCTGTCCCGGACTTGGCTCCTGTCCGGTTTCGAGCACTGTGCCCAGGCTCACGCCGATGCCCAGAAGCCAGGAAGAAGGCAGATGAGGGTCAGAACAGAGGCCCCTGAAGAGCCACTCCTGCTGCCTCAGATGGAGACTCCCACAAGCGGGTTGCAGCGTTGCCTGGCAGGTCTCCAGGAGCACAGGGACTGGAGGTCCTGGACAAGCAGTGTCCTAGCCGGGAGAGACCCTGGCCACTTGCTCTTCTCTCACCGCATCTTACAGAGAGGCACTCGGACCCAGACCCCCAAAACAACTCCCCTGGGCCTGGCAGAACTCACAGAGCCAAGACTGGGTGTCGGTTCTCTCGTGGGACTTGGTCTTCTCTGCACGATACGATTTTTAGAAAACGTGAAAGTGGGAACAAAGAGACCACGTGCCACTCGCTTAAGCAAAAACTAAGGAACTCAGAAGACAGACGTTTTAAAATCCTCTAGCAGGCATCCGGATGAGAGGCCGAGAGGACAGCCTCCCCTCAGTCTGGTCCTTCTCCCCTGTCCACACCGAGCTTCTGTTTTTCTTCTTCCTGCCCTCTGTCCTTTCTCTCAAGAGATTTTTCTATAGGGTGTGTGCACTTGCCAGAGAGACAGAAAGTGAGATCACCCCACCCCCTGGGCGGGGGTGGCCACACTGCAATCCCTTCTGTCAGGACTTCAGGACACACGCACCCAGCAGGAGTTCTAAGCCACCAGGTCTGGGACCTGAACTCTGTTCGACCACGTGGGAGTCCAGCGCCTGAACCACTATGCCACCTGCTGGCTCCAAGCCTCTGTTTTTTTATCATCATTGCTGTTGATAGAGTTTTCTGACAGTGTCCGGCTGAATGTGATGTGAAGAGTTTCAGAAGAAAACTTCCGCATAATCTACATATTTCATTTAAAAATAGGCTCTTGGGGAAAAAAGGCTCTTGGGAAAATGCCTCGGCTTATTATTATTAATGTGCCTAATATGTCATCTTCTTGGAAGAATCTACATTACTAATATATTTCTTTTACTGTTCTCTTCCCAAAATACATTATTGATCTTTTGCCCTCAGACATACATAATGTACAATTTTCCTAATAACCTTGAAAAGATTCATTAATAGCTGCCAATTTATATTTAAAAAAAGACTTAATCTTAGGGACCAGCAGTTGGTGTAATGGCTATGTCGCTGGAATCCCATGCAGTCGAGCACGGTTTGAGTCCCAGACCTGGTGGCTTAAACTCACACCAGGCACATGTGCGTGCGTGCCCAAGATCCCAAGAGGAGAATGGAGGAGAAGGGACTGTGGCGTGGCCATCCCCCCTGGGGGGTGATTTCTCGCTTTCTGTCTCTGTCTCTGTCTGTCTGGCGAGCGCACGTGCCCTATAGCAAAAACCTCTCCAAAAAAAAAAAGAAAAGAAAAGAAAAAAGACTTAATCTTAGAAAATTTATGATACTGCCAAGCTACCATATTTTGAAACTTGTTTCTTTGTTGTATCTCTTCTCTTTTAAGTTTCACAGAAATGTTTGGCTAGAAAACTAAAAAGTGAAAACAAACTTGATTGCTAACTGACATCTCTTAAAACAATTTTAATGCAGGTCCAGCAGCTAGCGTAGTGGCTATGTCGCTGAACTCCTATGTAGCTGACTGCGATTCGAGTCCCAGACCCAGTGGCTTAAACTCACACCAGGCGCATGTGTGTGCCCAAGATCCCGAGAGGAGAATGGAGGAGAAGAGATTGTGGTGTGGCCATTCCCCCTGGGGAGTGATTTCTTGCTTTCTATCTCTCTGTGTCTCTCTGTCTTCCTGGCGCATATATGCACCCTTATAGCAAAAACCTCTCAAAAAAACAAAAACAAAAACAATTTTAATGTGATATAAGACTCTTGTAGCCATAAACTCTTTGCAATAGTTTTTCAATACTGCAATCAGCATTTCTTTATCAAAAATGTGACCTTCCCACATTTGGTTTAGATAAATATCTCATTCATTTATAGTGTAAAAGCCAAGTTGTATTCTAGGGAATATATGTTTATTCAGAGTTTCTCTTAAATGTGGTTATCAGTTTGCTCGTTACAGCTGAAGTTGTATGTGGACTTCGGATAGGTGTTTTTGGAAATCTAATCACTCCCCAGTATGTACACTAATGACCATAAACACTCCTATGTCAATGCGGTCATGCAGCTCTTGCAGAACTAGACTTATGGAGGTTACATTTCCTTAAAAGCCACTTTAGCTGTGCTTTATTTACTACTTAGGACTTAGCAGTTAGGAGAGCCACTGTCATTACCTACACTCTGCAGACTAGGAAACAGGTTACTAGACACTAACGAGCCTGAACAGAACAGCCAGACTTGGCTACGTCCACCCCAAATATCACAAAGAAGCAGTGGGAAGAGGAGTCTAGATGTGGGGCCAGCAGGTGGTTGGATCCCACACGAAAGACTGAGCAGTTTGAGTCCCGGACCCGGTGGCTAGAAAACACACCAGGTATGTGTGTGCGAGTGTCCAAGATCCCGAGTGGAGAACAGAAGAGAAGAGACTGCAGCATGGCCATCCCTCTCCAAGGGGAGGGTAGATTCTCAATTTTCTTCTCTGTTTCTCTCCAGCAAGCATATGTACCGGAAGGAAGGAAATAAAAGGAAGAAAGGAAAGGAAGAAAAAGAGAAAAGGAAAGAAAAGACAAGATTTGTGTGTGCGTGTGAACTGTTTACCTTGGCTGGGTATAACATGGTGGTTTGACTCCTAACATGGCCGGAGTTCTCCTTACTTTGAGAAATCGATTTCTTAGCCACAGAGTGCCCTAGCCGAGCGTCCCATGCATGTTCATTCTGTAATGCCGTTCGAGGTGCAGAGGAAGACTGCTCAGACACCCACGCACAGCACTGCCGTGGAAAAGCCAGTGGTGGTTGGCAAGTTAAACGCCAGTGCAGATGTCTGTGTCTCCATGCTCGGAATGCTCACAGCCTTGGCACCGGCAGGCCTGCCAACAGTCATGGCTGTGTGTACTGTCACCTGCTGATTAGGTAATTCTGTTCTTGGTTTTGTTTCAGTTCACCTCCCTCAGCCACATATGCAGCTTCGAAGGATGAGGGGAGTACAAGCAGGAGCCACGGAATCGGAGGGCAGAGCTAGCAGCTGCAGATATCACCTTGCATGGCTTCTCTATTTTCTACACAAGGAGGCAGAGGAACCTGGTGGGTTATTAATGACCTGTCCCAAGTTTCCCAACTGATAGAGATCACAGCAGGACCTGAACTAAAACTTCTACCTACACCCTACTGTGTTTGCAATGCAACCTGAGAAATGTACTCATTTCTAGTCACTTCACACCCCTGGAAGGGGGGATGGCCACCTGCAATCCTTTCTCCTCCATTCTCCTCTCAGGATTTTGGGCATGTGTGCACACATACCCGGCACAAGTTTCAAGCTGCCAGATCAGGGACTCGAACTGCAATCAGTCATGTGGGAGTCCAGCAACATAACCATTATGCCACTTGCTGGTCCCAACATGAATACATTAACAAATATAAAATTTAGTGAGAAAAGTGGCATTGTTTTTCATGTCTGAACATCTAAATAGCATCTGGCTTAATAGAAGACAGTGGATCCTCACACTTCTGCCCTCATTCTGTTACAAGGTGTTATTTTGGGTGAAATATATGAAGAAAATCCAGCCTCACACAGATAGATAGGGAAAAGTGAGATATATCTGAATAGCTTTTCCAGACAGCTATAAAGGCTCTTCTCTGCTAGCACACCAACACTCAAAAAGTAGTAGTTTCTTAAAGATTAGCTGCAGTGTGGAATCTGAAGTGATAATCAAGGAATTTACTGTACTTTTTTTACATTAAAATCCATTGATTTATCTTGCACTACATAGATCTTTCAGATGTTGACACACTTCATTACATATAGAAGAAAAATCCAACTCACTGATAGCTACTAATCTCATCAGAAGAGTCTGCCTATGTTGGGAAGCTGTTACGCTCACTGTGGCAGATGAAAATTTTCCAGAATACTGGACCAGCAGTTGGTGTAATGGCTATGTCACTGGACTCCCACGTGGTTCGAATCCGGGACCCAGTGGCTTAAACTCATGCCAGGCACGTGTGAGTGCGTGCCCAAGATCTCGAGAAGAGAATGAAGGAGAAGGAACTGTGGCCATCCCCCTGGGGGGTGATTTCTTGCTTTCTGTCTCTCTGGCTCTCTCTGTTTTTCTGGTGAGCACATGCACCCTATAGCAAAAACCTTTCCCCACCCCAAAAAAAAAAAAAAAAAAAAAATCCAGAATCCTAATTTCTGAGTATGAACTCCAACACCTCACAGGTAACAAATGCTGCCAATTATTTTCCTTGAGATGTACAGCTCAGTTCATATTCAAGAAAACAGCTGCAAACGCCTAAGTCTGAACAACCATAGTTTATCCTTTGTTTTTGAAGAAAAAAGAAAACAACAATTTAGGAAAGCAGTTAGCTCTTTAGCAATGTACTTGTAGGCATGCTTGTCCCTAAGACAGCTCCTGCTATTCTGCATCTGCACGTGCTCGATGGAGGTGGCCACCCACACATCACACCGAAGATGAAAAAGGAAAACATCTACTCTCTGGCCCTTTACAGAAAAAGAAATAAATTTTTTAAGACGTTTTTGCTATAGGGCACATGCAATCGCCAGAAAGAAAGAAGGCAAGAAATCACCCCCCAGGGGGGATGGCCACACCGCAATCCCTTCTCCTCCATTCTCCTCTCGGGATCTTGGGCACGCACACACACGCGCCCGGTGTGAGTTTAAGCCACCAGGTCTGGGAACTGTGGTCTGTGGGAAGCCAGCGACATAGCCATTACACCAACTTCCGGTCCCAGGAATAATTTTTATTGTTTCGTCAAGGGCTTCCTAAGTGAAGGAGCGTTTCCTCACGGACGGAAAGCTCCCTGACACTGAGCGTGGCCACTGCTCCTGCTAAGGGCCAGCGGGTACTTCCCCGCCACCACTTCCCCAGCACTCAGCAAATGCCAGTACAGTGAAAGGGGACGAGGATGCCTGCCGTCTCCGTGTGCCTATGAAAACAGTTTTGAGCTTACGAACTGTCTGAAAGGGTCCTGAGTACCTCCCGGGGTCTGAGTGCCACAGAAGTGCTGCTACAAGTGTCTCTGCCATCACTATGCTAAAGAAATATTTGTGATTCAAAGGAAAATTTTATACATAGCACTTTAAAATTACAATTTAAATTCACAAAAAGTACACGCTCAATGGCTTTGAAACTCAGTCCTCATCTTAGCAGTTCTGCTTTGGAGAGGCCTTATCTGGCCCACTCTCTGTGTTTACAAATAAAGTTTTATTGGAACACAGCCATATTCATTTGTTTGTGTACCGTCTCTGGCTGCAATGAAAGAGTTGAGTGGCTTTAATGGGGAATTTTTGGCCCACAAAGTCAAAAACATTTACTATCTGGACCTCTGTACAAGTTTGCCAAACTCTGCTCTAATAGAAAACCCAGACGTCTGAAATAACAAAAACATCTCAGCAGTATTTGCATTAATATAATTACGAAAGGAAAAGTCTTTAGTGTTTTTGTTTGTTTGTTTTTCTGAGTCTGTATACTCACATAAAAACTAAGTTAAAAAATGAAGGGGAAGATAATGTTCTTAACCTTCGGTGCCACCTCACCCGGCACGGGTCTTACCAGAAGGTCTGTTTGGCTGTCTGAATGACACTCGCAGACATCTCCACATCGATGTAGTCGTAGTGCAGAGCGCCCGGGTCTGTGGATGACCCTGTCTCTGCTAGCAAGATACCAATCCATCTGCCCATGTCTTCAGAAGAAGAGGCCTGGAAAGGTGAGGGGAAAAGGACATTAATTCAGCTAAAGCTAACGAGTTTCTGAATGTTCAAACGTGTCAATAAAGAGACCGTATAATAGGAACAGTGATGACATATGAAGCATTGAAGTATCAATGAGAAGGAGGATCCAGTCATGCCTGAGGAATGGAATTCACGCTGTAGTCACACTAGGCCATACTGCAGGAAGCTGCGTCAGGATTTTAGCAAAGGCAATAAAAACCTGAGGTCCTAGACCCTTCGATTATTCTGGAGAAAGGCACCAGAGTGTGAGACTTGGAAATGAATGTGATTAAATCCCAATCAAAGGAAATCATTTAAAAAGCCTCGTTAAGTTGGCAACAAAATCTGGCAATGGAAAGGAACCCACTGACATAGAAAGTACAGCGAAGCTATCGCCTTTATGCATTGTAAACTTTTAACCAATAGCCTTTGTTCCCCAAACAGGCCTGAAATGGTACTTCTGCTTTTCTCATCGAATGATGTAAAAACAATTAGATGATGTAAAACAACAACCTTACTTTCACATCAGTTCTGCTTGTGTAAGTGTAATCATCTTTGACTGGGCTGCCTTCTGCATGCCATTTTTTAAGATGTTTCAAGTCCCATCCAATTTCATCTCCTTAATTTGCAAGTCTGAAATATATCTTTAGGATTATGTTCATTAAATTTTAAATCCATCCTTATTAAGTAATTTTGAAATGTATGAATTAACTGACTGTGAAAGGGAAAAGACATTTTATTTTTTATAAAAATTATTAATATATGGCCCATCCATGGTAGCATGCATTGGTAGACAGTGCTACTTGGCAGACTGAGGCCATGGGGGAGGCCCAAGTTCAATTCCTGGCCTACTCTAAAACCTAGATGTGGAAAACAAACCAATGAACAAAAAGATAGAGATCAATTTTTTGTTTTTCAAATAAAGAGCTATAAGTTGAGCTTAAAAAAAATTGAACACTGATCAGAGTATAAGCAACCATTAATATTCCATGCCACGTGTAAAAGTCTGTCTAGGAGAGCCATGGACAAAGCAGCCACTTCTTTTGCATGTGGATAAACTGGCTAGTGAGATTTCCTTATAACAGATCACTCCTCCTAACCAGCACCAAATGAAGCTATTAGGACAAACTGAAAAGATTACAGTTATCTACCTTGCAGAGAATAAGTACATAATCAATGTTTGTCTAATTTAAAAATGAATTGATTTGGATTCTTGAGTTATAAAGAAATCATACGAGGGCCAGCCGGTGAGGCGGGAGTGAAGCAGTACGCTGCGAGCCTGAGGCCACCCACAGGGGAAGCTTCTTGGTTTAAGTCTGAAGACCTCCCTGAGCACACGGGGCACACACGCTCCAGAAACCGGCTGGCTAAAGACTGAAGACGGATTATGGTGTCAAGACCCTGTTGGGGAGCTGTCTGTCTTTCTCACTCCTGGAGCACACACGTGCACGCGCACACACACACGTTCTCTTTCCAGGTGTTTTGTTCCTCCCAAAACAAAATCTACATCAAGAATATAGGGCCAGCTCAGTGGTGCATTGCTATTGTGCTGTTCAAGTGATGCTGGATCCTTATGGACGAGATCACAGGTTCGGTTCCCCTGGTCGACCTGTATACCACAGGTGTGCATTTCCACGACCCGGGAAGGCTGGGAGGGGATCATGGCATGAAAACCTCTCTCCCCCTGTCTTTCTCTCTGTCTCTCACTTGCATGAAATAAAGAAAGAAACTTTAACAACAGGGGGGAAAAAACCATAACTAAAACTGTATCTACGTATCTAAAACCATGTGGTCAAGCATTTTTAAAAAGCATATCTAAGATGTGATTAATATGATTACGCTAGCGTTTACTGTTTTCCTCATAGTTCACTTTATGAAATTTCCTCATGGGCTTTTAAAAAATAATCCTGTGGTGTTGGACTGGAATTATGATTACTTATGACTGCATGGCTTTTAATATGTAGAGATATAGAATAGATAGAGATGTATGTAGATTATGTATATATGCACATAAATGTGTATACATACATACATAACTATAACACACAAATGTTCAAATATGTGTGCGCGTATATGTACACACACACACACACACATCTGTTTCCTGGGTCTGTCTGCTGAAAAGGCCTTGAAGCAAGGACACCTCAGTGATAGTAACACATCGAGCACGGAGTCCTGGTTCCTAAATACCAGCCTCCACTATGAGGAACAGTGCGCTTCGGAGAAACGGCTGACTGGGCCCGAGAAAGGCAAAGATGCCCCCGGACCATCTTACCATGCCACACCGTAGGGACGTGCTCCAAGGACGATGGGGACTGGGGTCTCTAACAGAGACAAGGCAAAGGCCACGAGAGTGAGCTTAAATGGGCTCCTGCTGAGAACAGCTGTGATAACCTGACCACCATAAATCGTGCTAATAAAGGATTCTAGTCGCCAATTAAAATAATAACCTATGAATCGCCATCGATATACATACAGACATAAATGAGTGAATAAGTAAGTAAAAAGGAAGAAGGGAAACTCTTACAGTGGCTGTTAACTAATGCTGCAGAAGAAGTAACGGAATTAGAAAGTCACCGTTTAGCAAGTGTCATCACAGTGACTTCTTCCGGCAGGAGTCATTGATGGCTGCTAACACTGGCAGGTCAGACTGGGAGTCGTCTCAGAGCACCTTCCCACGGAGGGAGAAGGCAGTAAGGTTACAGTGGGGAGACCTTATTCAGGGGATCAGAACATGAGAAAAACGGACACTGTGTGCTTCCTGAGAGGATGATTATAAAAGCCCCCACAGCCCTGGGCTCCTGCCAAGGACGCCTAACGTGAGCACACAGCAGACATGCCCCAAGCAAGGAATTTCTATAAAATAACCGATCTGTACCCTTCAGAAGTATCCATGTCATGAAACCAGACAGACAGAGGAGGCTAAAGAGACTTGGCAGCTGGACGCAACACACGATCTGGGATTTCCTTCTGCTTATGAAGGACATTACTGGAATAACTGGGAAAATCTGATTAAGATCTAGGAATCAGATAATAGTGCTGTATGAATGTTAATTTCCTTGACAATAATACTGTGGTTCTGGTAAGAAAATACCCTTGTTTTTAAGCGAGCACACACCGAAGTATTTAGGAATAAAGGGACCACATATCTGCAAAAGGGCCTGAAAACTATTATTATTCATATACACGCACAGATGTGCATACATAGAGACAGAGAGAAATGCGAGGGAGCTACCAAACATGAAAAAAAGTGACTATTTGGAGAACAAGGGTGAAGAGCAGGGCATCCTTTGTTCTATTCTTGTAATTTGTCCATAATTTTTAAATTATCTCAAAATAAATTATAATAAAATGATCTTAGAAAAAGAACAGATGACAACTTTCTTGGCTGGCCCATGGCATCTCATTACTGAGTACGGCAGAACTTTGTGCTGAGCTTAGAATGAGGCGAACTCTTTTGTTTGTGTCACTTCTAAGTTGAAGTCACTTTTGCAGCTATAAAAGCAGCTATCTTACATTGAGGGGTACTGTTTAAACTTCAGACTCTTGCTGTCCTTCAGGGAATCAAGCCCACGCGTCAGCAGCGGCAAGAACAAGCATCTCGCTCCACCTCAAAAGCATTCGCAAAGTATGAAGCACTGACACCTTCTTTCAAGGTAAAATTGGGAGTTGTAACAGGATTATCAAAGTCTCAAAGCACCTTCCCACAGGGGGAGAAGGCAGGACGTTTACAGTGGGGAGACCTTCTTCAGGGCACCACAGCGGCCTGCACCACAGGGCTCCCGTCAGGCGTCAGGCGGGGGACAAGGTCTCCCTCCCTCTGCGCCACCCCACCCTTGCCTGGGCTTCTCTCCTGGGGCATCCAGCCCAGCTTTTCTCTTCATTCCTCAGTCTAGTGAGTGCCAATTCGTGCCTCCTGTCCCTCGCAACTCCTCTCAGATCAGCTGCCAAAGCTCCCACAGAGCCGCATCCTTAAGTCAAGAATAGTTTCTTCTTTTATGTTTCCCCCTTTTTCTACAGTTTTTAGCTTCCATAAATGCTTACAAAGTACACTGATCCTAGCTTGATACTCGAGTCTTACAGATGGCTAGAGAAGCCAACAGAGAACAAAAGATTTGGTTGTGGTCAAGTAGTAATAATGAAGAAAAGAAACAAATTGAAAGAAAAATCAGAAACCAGGTTAAAAAAAAAAAAAAAAAGCCTGTAACAGACTTAAGACTGGCAACCCCCTTCTCCTGACCCAGGCCACGCTGCGTCTCCTCCCAGCAGACTGCGCTGCTGCAAAGTCAGCCACTAGGGGGCGGCAGTCAGTCCTGACTGATGCCTCAAACTACTGGCAATGGAACCCTATAGGAAGATATTCTCGGTCTATTTTTTGTCCCCATCAGAAAAAGTAGTTTCTGGGGAACTAGCAGTTAGCGTAATGGCTATGTCGCTGGACTCCCACGTAGTCGTCCGCGGTTCGCGTCCCGGACCCAGTGGCTTAAAACTCATGCCGGGCGCGTGTGCGTGCGTGCCCAAG